ATTGGCAGTCTGTACCACCAGAAGCTACCCTGAGGCTGGAACTTGCGGTTTACATCAGGATTTCCCCACTATAACAAGTGATAATGTGTGTGTGTGTGTGTGTGTGTGTGTGTGTGTGTGTATATCACTCTTCCTGGAGCTTATTGACTTTATGCCATCAATAACATGCCAAGTGTTCCCGTCAGCTAAAAATAATGAAAAGACTTTTAGCCTTTTCAGTGTTAATTTAGGAGAGAAAGAATGGATGATGTGGGTGTGGTTTTCATGAGATGATACTTACAATGTTGGAGAATAGAAAGCATAATTAGGGAATCTGGAAGAAACTTGACATTAACAAATATGAACTGCTTCCAAAGAAAACACAAATGGACTTACCGAAGTCATAGCCGTGCAAATAATAAAACTCAGGACTTCCAATTTTAAAATGAAGTATTATTATGGATTTACAGGGGGATCAAACCTAAGGCCTCCAACAAACTACAAAGCACTCTATAAACTAGTCCATTCCCCTAGGTCAGGAAACATACTTTTATAATTAGAATTTTATTCATTACAGAAAATACACATTCTTTAGGAGAGACTATGGCAAATTCAATCAGGGACATGAAGTGTCCTGATGTAAAATGTTCAGCAACAACAGATTTGGAAAAAATACATGAGCAGTAGACAACCCAATAAACAAACAACAATACTACATAAACTAGTAGGGAAAAGGAAAAACAAATCCAAGTAAACGTCACTACCAGATTTGAAAAGAAAATGCAAAAACAAAAGCGACAGAAGAATACAGAGAGCGAAATGTGAAGTTTCACATGCCTAAAACACTTGGGGAGGACGGATTATCTCCTAGTTGCCCACCATAGTTTTGGTCTATAATACTAGAAAACATAGGCTTCAAGAATTTGAACTCATTATTTTGAGAATCTCCTGTAAGACAGACCTCATACTGGTAGCTCTGGGACAGAGTCCCAGCACCACTGACATCCACCAAGTGGCCAGGAAAGTGACCATCAGCCATAGAGCAGACACCCAGAGGGGCCGCCTTGGCCCTCCTGCACAGCCTCACCCCCACAAACAGCAACACAGACAGGAAGAAGAGAGAAGACACAGATGCCAAGGCAGTGACCAAGTACAGTGTAAGCATGTCACTATCCTGGTGACTGGGGTCGCGCACCACCTCTGGCAGAGGTAGGTAGGGCTGGGAGAAGCCATCCACCACTAGCACGTGCAGTGTGACGCTGACCGAGCGCGGAGGATCGCCATTGTCCTTGACCAGCAGCACCAGCCTGTGCTTGGGCACATCGCGCTCACTCAGCAGCCTGGTGGTGCGCACCTCGCCATTGTGAGCCCACACGCTGAACAGCCCTGGCTCCGTGGCCTTGAGCAGCTGAAAAGACAGCCAGGCGTTCTGTCCAGAGTCGCGGTCCACAGCCACCACCTTGGTGACCAGGTAGCCAGGCTCCGCAGCCCTGGACAGCAGCTCTGTAAAGGGCGCCGAGGTGTTCTGCAGTGGGTAAAGGACGAAGGGCGCATTGTCATTGTCGTCCAGCACCACCACCTGCACCAGAGCCTGGCTGCTGAGCGCCGGAGAGCCTCGGTCTGTGGCACCCACGTAGAACTCGAAGCTCTGTAGAGCCTCATAGTCCAGCGCCCTGAGTGCGAACAACTGCCCGTTGTTGGCATTAATGGAAATTAGTGAGTCGAGGGGCAGCTGTGGGTCGTTGGGTGGCAGCAGCGAGTAGGTGATGTGGGCATTGGAGCCTGAGTCTGAGTCTGTGGCACTGATGGTGCCTATGTGCAGGGCAGGGTTGTTATTCTCGTGGACGAACATGGTGTATGAGGTTTGGGTGAAGGCGGGGGCGTTGTCGTTGACGTCAGACACCTGGACTGCTATGGTGTGCTGGGTTGTGAGACTGGGTGTGCCCAGGTCTGAGACTATGATGGTGATGTTGTACTCAGCTCTGCTCTCTCTGTCCAAAGCTCCGTCTGTCATCAGTCTATAGAAGTTCTCAACGGAAGGTTCCAGTGTAAAGGGAACACCATCCTGGATGGAACAAACGGTCCTTCCATTTTCTCCAGAGTCTCGGTCTCGAATCCGAAACAAAGCCACTTCTGTCTCTGGTGCATTTTCTGGGATGGGATTGGTGAGCGATGATATAATTAGTTCTGGGTAATTATCATTGACATCCACCACCTGAATAGAAACAGAGCATTTTCCAGAAAGACCCCCGCCATCGGATGCCTCTATATCTAGTTCATATGAAGATGTTGTTTCAAAGTCCAGTGTTTTAATTAGTCGAACTTCTCCTGACTGGGTGTTTAGTTCAAAAGTTGTGCTCAACTCCTGAGAACTATGAAAAAGAGAGTATGATACCTCTCCATTTGTCCCAGTGTCTAAATCCTTAGCAGAGACCTTAGCAACCAGAGAACCCAAGGGACTGTTCTCTAGGATTTGCACCCGGTAGAAAGCCTGTGCAAACTCAGGGGCATTGTCATTGACATCCAAGACAACAATCCGGATTTGCGAGGTGCCAGTTCTGGGCGGAGAACCGCCATCCAGCGCTGTCAGAGTTAATCTGAACTCTGTCTGCTCCTCGCGATCCAGCTCTTTGTCCAGCACCAGCTCTGGGTATTTTCTCCCATCACCACGGTTGTGGATGAAAACATGGAAATGAGAATTGGTACTAATGGTATAGTTCTGAATGCTGTTATTTCCCACATCCAAATCCTGAGCGATTTTGAGTAGAAATGCAGTGCCAACAGGACTATTTTCTATGATTTTCACTGTCATTTCTCTTTCAGGAAACTGGGGAGAATGATCATTAATGTCTCCTATTCGTAGTTCAGCTTGAAATATTTCCAGTGGTTTTTTCAGTAACACTTGGAAATGAGTGGTACAGGGCTCAGTGGGGCCGCACAGCTCCTCCCGGTCCAGTTTTTCATTTAAGATTAGCCTCCCAGTCTGTAGATCAAGCTGCAAGCGTGATTCCTTTTCCTCAGAGACTACCTGGGCTCCTCGAGCAGCTAGCTCAGCAACTCCCAGCCCTAGGTCCTGGACTAGATCTGCCAAAACAGTACCGCTGGGTGTTTCCTCCATCACAAAGTAACGGCGGGGTTCCCAGCCCGCCCCAGCCACTCCCAGCAAGAGAAAGATCAACAGAACTTGCCTTTGTGTGTGTTCCCTTCCAATCTTCATCTTTGCTTCCGCACCCTGGGTACAAGGGCATCCAGACAGCGGCTGAGCTGTTAGTTAATAGCCTGTTCCGAAGTGGAGAGTTAAAGGTCTGAGCTCTGCCTAAGGTCTTTTCTGCCTGGGATCTGAAGAAGCATTTTTTTTTTTTTAGATTCCCCTTTCCGCGTTAGTCATTTTAAAAGTCTTAGCCTGCAGCGCCACCATGCGTTGACTATGCTCTTCAACAGATGGCTACATGGTTCCATTCTTTTTTTTTCTTTTTTTTCCCCCATTCTTTTTATAGTCTATTGGTTGCCAAAAGTTTAAACACTAGACATTATTTTAATTATCCAGCCCCTCATTCAACAATAAACAATACTTGTTATGCTCCAGATTCTAAAAATTACAAGAATAAACACCCAGACAAGCTGCCTACCTTCTAGATATCGTACAATTTATGTTGGAGACACTCTAGGTGAGAG